GGCAAACGGCTTCAGTCAGTGATGCAGAGAAGTGCACTTTAGTATTCAGCTAATGTACAGCTGGGACCCCTAATGACTCATGCTATTATAAAATTGACTGAGATCACCTAAAGGAAAGAAACAAGATCATTACAAAAACCTCAGTATTCTCCAAGTCTTGTAATGCTTGTGCTCTCAAGACAGAATTCTCTATTAGGTACTCTGAAATGTCTAATGAAGGCTGTTGCAGCAATTTTGACAATATTTGCAATTGAGGAGTCTCTAGCTATTCTAATTGTTCCACTTGTTTGGAAAAGAGATGAAGGATAAACAAAGGTCAAAATGAAATTAACAGATAAGCAAAAATTTGAGATGAAGATGCCACATTTAGCTCAGTCAGAATTAAGGAGTATTTCTAGGTCAGGGTTAATAGCAAGTGTCTCAGCTCTCTACCCAGAAACTGCTGTGGATGATGGATTAGGTTTACTGGAATATTTCAAGAGATTGGAAAAGCAAGGATTCCTGGTAATGTTTATCTCAAAGACCAGCATTTTCTTATTTCTAATGAATCTAAAGCCAACTTGACATACTGTCATAGTTTTATTGAAATTTGAGGTTTGATATTCAGAAAGAGGAATCAGAGAAACAAGAATCACAGAACAGATTTTCTAAAAGGAAATGGTAGATACTGGCGACATTTACTCACACCATGAAGATTTTCCCTCCTTTACACATAACTCCTAGTTTTCTAGATATTTGATTTTGTAGTTTTATTCCCACCAAATCATATGCAGCAGTGAATGCTCTTTATCCAAATGCTGCAGCAATGATCCAAAGCCTTCACTAAACCTATCTTATGGAGAAAACACCCATGCAATTTCAATGTATGATGCGTAGTGAACACACAAAAAGGTACAGATTGCTCAAATAAACAAAGCCATCTACTGAACACCATCAACAGCAACTTTTCTCAGGATGGAAGAAAAAGTTATGATTAGTTGAAAAGTTAGACAGGTGTGGCCAGTTAGTTACAAAACATAATTTAAAATCCAAATTAATGATTTCTATAAACAAGTAACAGGATAGTAATGAGGGCTCAGCTGTTCACATACACTGAATTTGATCCTTGGGTTGGGAACAGTTTCTGCTTTCAGCCCTGCATTAGTGTCTTGTACTAAACTTCTATTTCAGCGTTATTCAGAGTCAGAAAGTTACTAAACACAAATAAGCATAAAAGCACACTATGTACCATACTTTGCAGTTCAAAGACAAAGAGGAAGGAAGAACATACAAAGGCGAGGAAGAAATTCCTCCCATTAAGGCATTGAACGAAAGAAAGCTGTAAAGTGTTTGAATAGGATTTCCTTCTACAAACAAAGACTTTTTCTTAGGTCTGCAAAAACACCTCTGGAAATGCAGCATGAAGGAATCAACTTTTGAAAAGTCAGATAAAATGGAAGTATACAATAGGTGACACAAAATTGCTGTTTAATAAATAAATAAATCCTTGTTATCTTTTGCATTTTGAATATTTTCACATTTTCCTGGTCAGCATATTTAATTGCTTTATTTTTATACAATTCATAGTATATGTTCCAAAATATTCTGGCTTATTTTAACACTAAATAAAATTACTACAGTGTTTCTTTAATTTAACCTTCTTGTCTGATACAATACATAAAATTTAATTTACCTCTATAACTAATGCTAGGTAGGAAATTTGTCCATTGAGTTATACCTTTCAACATTTTTCTTGCAGGTAATGGAATATATAAAAATAAATCACATTTTACTCCAGTACTTTATGGTATGCTGTCAGCAAATGTCCAAAGAAACACAAACCTAAAGCATTAAAAGCAAAACCATTAACTTGCAGATAAATCACAGAAACTTCTCATTTAAAAATGATTTGTAAAGGTCTAATGAACTGTTAGGGATAAGAACTGAAAATTACCACATATTAGAATGGTAATTTTCCTCATCTCTAAAATAAATACAACCTAATTTTAGCTGGACTCAAAAGTAAATTCCACTAGTCCCATTTATACCTTTTAAACCATAGAAAGGGTAACTATAACAATGCATGAGCAAACACCTTCTTTCACATTCATCGCCTAGGGAAAAAATGTGAATATATTTCCCTCACTTAAATAAAATTCATGCCTGAACTGAGATTAAAATTAGAAATTTATTCCTGAACACATAAATATGACAGTACTGTATTTAATTTCTGACGACTATAACTGTCATGCTTGAGTTGGCTGTTCATTCTCTAAAATAGACGTATTTATGTATCACACCACATTACTGAATACTGTTAATCTTCAAAATATTTAATACATTAGGCAAAAAAAAAAAAGTTTCTTGTGGGTTTTACTGCAAGAAAGTATAATTGAGACAGTCATTTTGGTCTGACTTTGCCAGTTGTGGGGAAAAAAAAAGACAAACAAACCAAGCCACCACAAAACAAAACAGAAATTTTGTGGAAATTTAAAACTTGTCTCCTGACAAAGGAAGTACCTTATAAAATATAGGTTAGAGCCTTCCATTTAGAGATGCCTAAGAAGAAGATAATTTAAATTCGGCTGGTTTTGGGGCTTTTTGTCATTATTGGTTTGGGGGCTCTTTTTCTTTAGTTGTTCACATGTTGCCCACCCCCTCTGCCCCCCAATGAGTATGAGACAGTACAATGGACTTTGATAAGATACTATGAGCTACCCTTTGTTACTGCCATGCTGTGCAAGACAACAATATCTTCAATATCATTTATTCAGTATTAGAACAATTTTGAACCTAAAAGATTTCTGCCTTCCCCTATGGCTCTAGTTAGAACGAATTTACTACATTTTTCAAAAGCAATGCATATTCAGTATACATGGCAGAAAGAGTGTGAGTTGAGGTTGCACATGCTCTCAACAACTCCAATGACCAAAACTTTGGAGCTTCTGAAATATGCAGTCAGGCTGTTTCTCAAAAATTAAGTACATCAGAGAAGTCATGCCACTACTGGGAAAAGGAATCTGAAATGTCATTTGAGAATTATGTAGCTATCATGTACTATTGACACTTTAAAAAAAATCACATTTTTTCTTTAGGAAATACTGTCAGTATCTTATCTATCTCTTCCTCTGCCACCCAAAGGTTTGCTCATTTTGGCATTTCTGTGGATTGAAAGTTTTACAGAGCAAAGGAAAAACTCATGCAACAAGTGGAAAAGTTTATTGAGAGAAAAGAGGATGGCTTAATTTTTCCTCTAACATCAAACTGAGTATTTCAGGTAAAGTAAGAAATCCACAGACTTCCCCTAACTTCAGATCTTATTCTGAAGCCTAGTTTTTGTACCTTGAGGAAAAGAACAGGAAATTTAACAGAAATGAAGTGGAGGGAAGATATCACAAACCAGTTCACTCGCAGAGATTTAGTCTTCACCTTTTAAGCAGTATTTACTGAAAAAAAAAAAAAAGAAACCAAAACAATAGAATGACAGGTGGTTTTTTAAATTTTTATTTTTATTGTCAGTCAGGCAAAGAAATTCTCAGCACATATCTAACACAGACTATTGAAACTGTGTAAAAAAAACAAAGTCACTGAGTTACGATCACTCTACTACAATATCCAGGCAAATCTTTCTTCTAGCCTACTCAGAATTCCTATGCAGTTGATAGTGTTGGCATGTTCATAGCTACCATCTGACACCACACTATCTCAAAATCCTCAGAAGGTTACTCAATCTCATCACATAGGGGTGTAAACTACAATGACACTACTGAAATACTATTGCTACATGGCTGAAGATTCTGCAGCACCAGCAAAACTACCTTACCACAAAACCCCACTAACACTTGCTACTAAATTAATGGACTACTTTACTAAAGACAAATAATGGAGGGATGGGAGGTGTTGTTAGAATCCAAAATTCTTATGAGCAAATCTAAAATTCAGGGATAGTTTCATTATGAAAATGTATAATTTCAACTCCTAAAACACCTGGAGAAGGCTAGCACTGGAACAGTACCATCAGCTGAAGAAGACACAGTACATTTCATTCACCTTAAAAACTTTCACCTGGGAGGATTGGATGTTGCAAAGGAAGGATAACCTCATTCTTCCTTTTCTAAGTTCAGGTCTAGGGGCAGACTTTTCCTAGCTATACAAAAAAAAAGGTACAGCTGTAGAATTAGAGCTTTTCCTAGTAACTTAAATGCCTACAAGGTACGTGAGAAAATTTTTGAAATATGCTCTATGAAAAACAGTCAGTTGTGAAAGCCAATATATTGTATTGATTTTTCATTGAGTTTTTCAGACTTTCTAACATGACCTCTGTATTCTTGATACTAGGTCTCTAATACATCAAGAGTAGTAAAACTAAAATTACTACTTAAAAAAGGAAAAAAATATTAAATAAAGACACAATTAAACTCTTCAGCTAATTTGTAACGATTTAGTTGCTCTGCGACCTCCACAGTTTTCAGTGTTACACAGCTAGGGAGACAGAGTGCACGCAGAACTGACCTGAGCCACAAAACTGCTGGGGTTCAGGGGCCCAGTGTCTGTTAGGTGAGACATAAGGCACGCCTGCTGTCACCTCTGCAGCATCCCAAGGACAGCACAATTCACGCAGGGAGATAGATTTGCTATGAGTGCTGTAGCCCAGGGAGATCTGACAAATGTGCATTGCAAAAAATCAAGAGAGGAGAGAGTGAAAGCACATCATTTATAAAACAGCTTGACTGAGCAAGTAAGTCTGATTACCTGCGCCGTGCCACTATTGTCACGACGGCTCCACAGGGAGCACATTCATTTGTCATTTCCACCGTACCGTATCTCAAGACATACAAGTATTACATCGAATGCATCCCTCAGCAGTTGGCTCACAGCCTGCTTTCTGGCACATCTCAAATCCATAGACAAATGCTCAGGAGCAGCACGCTGCTCTTCATCACCCTATTTCTAACCTCTTGTAAAGCATCTGCACGCAGGCTTTATTTCACTGGCTTCAGCTTTTCCCAGGTTACTCGCCGTTACAGGTATTTGCGTCTGAAATAGGTGAGAGTGCTCCTTGTGGGACTCCAGGGCCTGCGGGACCCTGCCAGGGCCAGGGTACTGCCAGAGGGGCAGGAGCCGGAGCGAGTCAGGGCGGCGTAGGCAGAGGGAGAGGGGGAGGCGGAGCGAGGTAGGGTAGCGTAGCCAGGGCGGGACAAGGTGTAGGACGAGCGGTTCAAGGAGCTGTAGGGAGGGCGTGAAATGGTGCCGTAGGTGGCACGGGTCGAGGAGTAGCCCAGGCGCCCCTCGGGGCTCCACAACGATCGGGAGGCGGGAGCCCACGTGGAGCCAAAGCGAGAGGTGCTCTCATAGGAAGGGCCCCACTGAGAGCCACACAAGGAGCGAGAGCCAGAGGTGCCCACAAGCTGGGAGAGGGAGCGAGAGGTGGGGGCACAGAGCGAGCGGGCTGTGGGACCTGCCAGGGGCCGCGGCGATGGGGAGCACGGCAGGCAGGCCGCAGCCGAGGAGTCCAAGGGCTGAGCGGCCGGCGAGCTGGCGGGGCGGGCCCCCGCGGCCACCAGCGAGGCGGAGCTGGGCGAGCACAGCGAGTGGGCGGCGGGGGGCCCGACGGGGCGGGGGGCCGGAGAGCACAGCGAGTGCGAGGCCGGGGGTCCCACGGGACGCTGAGGTGCCGGGGAGCACAGCGAGTGGGATGCGGAGGCAGTGCCCACCTGCAGCACTGTCGGGGTGCTGCTGCGGTCAGCAGCGCGGGGCACCGGGGAGGCCACTGGGGAGCACAGGCCGTGCGCTACGGCGGAATTCAGGGGCTGGGAGGACAGCGTGGCCGCTGGGCCGCACTGAGGCTGGGTGCTGGGAGAGGGTGTGGAGCTGCAAACGACGTGTGAGATGGAGGCACCGGGCACTGAAAGGGGAGTTGCAGACTGGATGGGGTTGCCAATGGTGTGGATTACTGGAGAGCACATGGAGTAGGATGGCGGAGCAGTCATAGGGACTGCTTGGGTTGCCCCGTTGGGACTGGGGCCACCCATGAAGTGGGTCAGCAGCGCACTCACCGCATTATTCGTGGGAACAGAGACAGAATAGGACATCGGCCCCCCTCCACCTCCAGCGGGGTGTGTGGGAGCAGGACCTGTCTCAAACACCACGTGAGGCATAGTGGTGCAAACAGGGTTGGATGCTGGGGCTGGCATGGAGCTGTACATGGATGGAGCCATTGGAGCACACGTAGCAGGAGGTACAGTCTCACATATGACACGGAAGCCAGGATCGCATCCCATCTCAAAACCGGGATTGATGCTTGCATTGAAGCCTTGGTTGCAGATGGTGTTGCATAAGGGATGGCCTGCAGGGAGGTACACAAAATCGTACACAGGCTGTCCCCCTGCGCTGCAATTTGGGTTGCACACTGGGATACATATATATTCACACATGGAGTTGAAGGCAGGGTCTGCCACAGGGACAGCCGTTCCGGCTCCCCCAGCGCCGTTCATGGGGACGGAGCCATTCTCACACACGGGGAGTGACCCGTTCTGGCCGATGGGCAGGACACCGTTCTGGCCTGCCGAGCAGCACACTTCAGCTTTGGCACATCCCTTGCAGTAGGCAAACTTGTGGCACCCGAGGTTGGCTAGGAGCCGGTGGCAGCCAAGCCTGTAAGGTGTAAACTCCACGATGGTCCGTGCCTGTTGGTTGGATGCCAGCGTTCCCAAACTGGAGCAAGACAAAGAAAAGAATTAGGACCCTAATCTTTAACACTCAGAGACCTAAGCGCTACAAGATAGCGCACAAATAAATTTGATTTGCTATGACATACTTTAGAAACAAACTGCTATGACAATTTTGTTATTCTTGTGTTTTTCCAAAAACCCCATATTCTCTTGTGAAAAGCATGGGAAAGCTTTTGTCCCAAGAGAAGATTTGGAAGACTCCCATAGTCACTTTTGTAATGGGAATTGGAAAACCATTTGTGGTACTGACTTGAATTCTTAAAAAATGCAGCACCTTTCTGCCTCAAAGATGTATTTATTGCTTACCATTTCCAGCAGTTCAACAGGGCAGCTTTGTGGAATCCAGTTCATTACTATTCAGTGAGAACAATTCTTAACTTCTTGCCCTCAAAACTAGTCATACTTTTGTCAGTTCTCCTTGTCATGAAGAGAAGCAATGCATATTAATGAACAGCTACTTTTACTAGAATGTTACAGCATCTCGAAAGCTTCCCGTTTCCTGTGATTAACGTGTTATGAGCTTAGAATGCATATTGCTATTTCTCGCTGTTGTTCTCTAATTGTTCCTATATGCGGTTAGTGCCAGTTCATGAATATTTAGAGGAATTTTATTATAAATTCAATACGATTGTAAGGGATGGGGGACCTAGCTAGTACTTCTTGTAAAGAGAAGTGTGCAGACAGATATTTGATGCACCCACTTAAATTAAATCTTGAGAAAATTGAAGCAGCAGCATTCCTTGCCAGCTTTAAATGATCAGTTTCAAGAGGAGTGGGGCTTTTAATAGAGTGTCAAACTAACAAGAGGCAAAATGTCCTGTTCATGTGCTAAACGCCAAAAATATCAGAACTATTTTCTCTCTCAAAACCTGTTCTGAACTTGCACACTTTAGTCAAACCCCAATATTGTCCCCATTTCCAGAACTGATGAACTTACTCAATGGTCATTGGCTCTTTAAATAAACCACAGCCTTCTAATGTCATTACACAATTCTTCATATCCTCCTGGAGAGGATTACAGAAGGAGATCTCTGCTGTACATGGTACTTTCAGTCTGGGTTGGCTCAGTAGCTAGTTAAAAAAGAAATAAACATAATTTATTATTTTTAATCCTTACAAAATTGACAATGAGGTAAATAAATGGAAGGGGGAAAATTAAAGTATTATTAATATTTCTTTTTTACTTGCTTCTATGATCTCTATACATTACTAAGTCAACTATTTTACTTTAAAAATCACACCAATATCACTATATTTAAAAAAGGCAATAATATAGAAGAAAAATGTAAGATATTTCAAGTTTATTTGCATTGCACTTAGGGAGTGGCCAATAAGAGTCCCCAGGTCTGTTCCTTAGATCCCAAATTCCATAATAAAAGTTACTTACCTTTACAATAACAGGTGGTCTGTTGACCACAATATCCCTGCTCACCATCAGAATTTCTCCACACTCAGGGTCTGAGACAGCAACCACTTTCATAATGTTGTGATCACAGAGATAAGGTCCATATTGATTATATGATATACACAGTGGAATTTTTTTCACTGTAAAACAAATTTTTTTCTTTTATTTTTCTGTATTTTTTATTAATATTTCCACTTTCCTTCCTCCTAATATTTTACTCATGCTGACAAGGGCTTAATTAAGTATTAAGTTATCATGGCATCTTTGAAAATAGACAGAATTTTTTCCTGACTTAGGGTGATACATTGCTATTTTCAGCAACCAGTTTCACAGTTTTCAATTCATCTATTAGTGAATTTGCAAGATTAGTTGATGATAATGATGATGATAATTATTAAGCAAAATTTGGAATCTTTCCTTCCAGTGCAATTCTTAAAACAATAATTCAAATACAGGCAAATTAAAGCCTCGTAAAATAGAATTTTAATATCAGTATGAAATTCTGTCTTATAATGGTGTGGTTTAATGAAAGAGATCTTGTTTCTTCTAGAAAAAAGACATTAACCATGAAAACAGGTGTTGATGTTCTGCTACACATTTGCACTTCCAAGCATATGGTATGCCTAGGTGCTTTAAGCAAGTGTTTTACACTGGCTGATATCTTCTGGCCAAAGAAAACATTACTTTTCTGATAGACAGCTGCAGCTTTATCTTTGTATTGAGTATGGAGTTCAGAATTGAAATTTCAATGAAACAATTTTTTAGACTATCATAAGAATCTCTAAACCTTGAGAAATTAAGGAAAGACTACAATTTACTTGTCACAATACATGTAGTATTGACATGGTGTTGATTTTTGAGTGATCACCCTAAAGGGAATTCAGCTGTCAATATTTAACACTGCACATCTCACTTCCCACCACTATTAGGAAGTCTCCACAGATCCTAAAAACCAACTAGCTCTGAAAAACAACTGAGTGTTAGACAATTTCACCCTCTTACCTTCCCTTGGTCCCAATGTGACATTCACACAGTCTTTCCAAAACTGATCCATTGGGACACCACTGTAGGTTATAATTTGCGCGCACAAATTGAACTTCAGGGTTTTGTTCTCATTACGCAGATTTTCAAGCAGCCAGTTCAGCTGGACATCTTCACCATACATTGGGCAGTTGGCCATCTTTAACCTCATGTTAATTCCAGAGTCACTCAGAAATGGGTTTTTCAGAGACGATAGCTCCCGGTCGATATGACAGTTGGAAGCGTTGCAGTACCCTGGGTGAATCCTTCTGTAAGCCCGGTAATAGGCTTCTTTGTTTTTCACAGAACCTGTTGAAGAAGATATATGATAATGAATCTGCTGGAGGCACAAGAACCCTATTATTATTCTACCCAAATAATAAAGATAATTAAATTTATTGCTACTTCTTCCTGAAACCCAGAGTAGCAGGTTGTTGTAGAACAAATGCACCAGATAATGAAATATAAGATACAGCAGACTGAATGCACGGAAAGAAATGAACACGTCAGGGAAAAAAAAAGAAAAAATTATAAACCTTATTTTACTTTTAAGTAGTTAAATATAAAAAATGGTCATGTAAATCTCAAAATGTATAGTTAGTACAAAACTGGAAATATAACTCTCTGAAAGAATAAGGGTGAATATGAGATGCTACCATTCTCTCAAAAGGCAAAATATGCCATTAAAACAAAGAAACTGTCAATTGTTTTCCAACCAACCAACCAACCAAAAATAAACAAAAATCCCCACAGAGCTTGCAAATGTACAATCAGCTGTGACCTACTGTTCATTCCTTTATGCAGTCTTGCTAGTTGAACTCCTCCTGTCTACTGGAATATGAAAATCAGTAACCCCAAAGTAAGAGCAGCGGAATATGCTAATAATACATGAATTTAGTAAGTAGGCATATTTTGTGACAGACCCAGTACAAGAAGCAACAAGTAAGGTGTTAATCCTAGGTTTAGAAGAATTTATGGGTTTTTTAGATTATCTTGAGTCTGCTAATATTTAAAACTACTTTCAAGGTGAGACCAAAACATATACCTATAAACAGTGTTATTTAAAGCACTGGAATGCACATCCTGTTAAGAACAGGTAAAAAACTTTGGCTTTGTCTAGTTTGGAGAAAAGCAGGCTGAGCAGCAACCTCATTGGTCTTCCTAGCTTCCTGAGAAGAGGAAGTGGAAGGGGAGGTGCTGAGCTCTTTTTCCTGGTGTCAGTGACAGGTAGCATGGCAATGGTTGAAATGGCTGTGCATGGGAGGTTTAGTCTAGACATTAGGAACAATTATTTAATTGTGAGGCTGGTCAAACAGTAGAACAGACTTCCTAGAGAGGTGGTTTATGGGCCGTGGTTGTCAGTGCCTTAAAAAGAGATATTTAATAGTATGTTTCGACTTTCATTTAGTCCTGACATGTGACCAGGACGAGATGGTCATTGTAGGTCCTTCCAGCTGAAATTATCCTATCCTGTCCTATCCTATCCTATCCTATCCTATCCTATCCTATCCTATCCTATCCTATCCTATCCTATCCCATCCCATCCCATCCCATCCCATCCCATCCCATCCCATCCCATCCTATCCTATCCTATCCTATCCTATCCATTAGTATGTGCTTTGTTTGAATCATCTAAATATACTTAGAAGTTTTAAAATCACGACGTTTGAAGAGAAAAGCATCTGCCTCTTTCTCAAAAATGAAAAGACAATTTCAGATTGTTCTGCACATTTAAACACAGGAGAGATTACTTCAATCATATAAAATGTGAGAGATCACATTTTATATGATTAGCCTGTACAATTTCCTCTAACCCATTCAATATGTTTTCGTCATACCTAGCTCATACTTGTAAGCTCCAGTGATATCTTCAAATTGCTCACTGCCAACACTCTTGGTGATTAGACGTTGTCCACATGGCCATGTGTCACAGAAAAATTTTGTTCTTTTGGCATTGTTTTGGGAAAGCCAGCCAACGTAATTTGAATTTACTCGAGAAAACATATGATGACCATCATAATCCAAGTCCAGTTCCCCTTCCCTGATGCTCCGAACCCATGTAGGACCACTGCAAGCTGAACCTAAACCAGAGAACAAAAATGTTATAACACATTGTAACCGGAATAGCAGGGAAACTCAGCAGCGTAATCTGAGTAATATTATTCCAACTATAGTAAAATTACCTCTGCCTGTTTCCAGAGGTGTTGGATCCAGACACTGCCAGTCACCACAGCACTGATTTATATCTCTGCGAGCCATCCAAGATTCATTCCAGCAGTGGTATCGCCTGTAGAATGGGGGAATATACAATTAAAGATGTCTCTTGGATTACCAAATTTAACACCTATGACAGAGGAAAACCATGCCAGCAATAATTTTTTGATCAACTGAAGATTTTGTATGTCTAAACACTGTTAATGACATTTATGACAGGAGTGTTTTTTTTCGCTTTATATCTCTCAGGCTGGAAATTTGTTCCAGAACCCCATAGACCTGATTGCAAAACATGTTTCTTTTAGTAGATAACATGACAGCACAGTTCTTTAGATTAAGTTTAACAGGCATTGAAAGATTTATAAGAATTAAACAGTCCATTACAAGGAGCATCAGGAGGACAGCACAGGTATCAACCAAGTGATTGTGATTGGAGATAAAAGTCCAAATTAGGGATAAATTTTCCCTAGAATTTAGTGATCTTCTGTACACTTTTACAGCTTCTAAGCTTGATGGCCTTATTTTTTTCAGCTGAGAGTGATAAGCAAGCAGCATGGATTCTCACAAGAGGTTCTGCATTTTTCTTTTTTGAAAATCTACTGAGTAGACTGCCTCTTTAGTAATGTCATGGTTTTGAAATGCATTATTAGGAAACTGAAGAGTATTACCCAGATAAAGAAAGAGATACACCAAAGAGAGACACGATCTGCTAAATATATACTGGTTTTCCTATTATGTAATCTTTAAAAGGGAAAAAGAGCGTAATATTTTTCTTATTTACCATAGTTTGTCTTTGCCACACAGGTTTTTACCAGTAGCGTCAAAAATCTCATTGATACCAAGGGGATTCTCAATTGAGCAAGGAAAACAGAAGCTTGTGACAACACGGCTTGGAATTCCCAAACATCTCATCACTGTAAGAAAAAATATGAATGAATCATTACAAATCACAATTAGTCATTAAAATCCCTCACTTATTTTATAAATTATTATCCTATGTTCTAATTTACAGGTATAGAAACACAATGGATAGGAAGCAATATTTGGGGTGCTGTATCTTCAAAATTCTTTTTAGTTCTTGAAAAGTAGTTTGAAAAAAAGCCTAGCAGAAAGGAATGTTTTTGTACTCTTCCATCTTAAAATAAAAGCCTAAAACATCCACAAAAACAGATGGTTTAAATTCAGAAATCATTAACCTGATTCTGCACTAATAAAACAATTTTTTTTATAAATAGTGTGGTACATATAGATTCACCTACAGGACTTCAATTTAACTTTCTTCATTCAATGTAGAGGCCAGTTCAGTAGATAAATGGTATAAAGCTGGAACTCAGATCTTCTGTCTGTAGAGTTTAGTGCACTATTATCTAATCTTTTGCATTAAAAGGAGAATATAGCCTTGTACTTGTGTTTTGGGGGAGACATTGCAATAGATCTTCCTGCTCATAACTTAAATGTTTTTTCTTATCCTTGAAACATCACCCAAAGCATAAATTTTGGCTCTGCAATGGGGTTGTGGAGGTTGTGTTGGTTCTTTCCAACCCCAATTACTCTATGATTCAACTATGCTGCACTTGCTCTGAGTTTTAATAAAAGTTTCAGTATTGATAACTGCATAAAATAATGGTAACAGAGAAGGTGGAACTACTTTTCTTGCTCTTCAACCTGTGTAGGAAAGCAAAAGGTTGATAATAAACACTTTATCAGGAGCATGAGAAAAATATTTCATTTCTTTTCTAGAAAAATTCTTACAAGTAAAATTATTCAAGTAGATTTTAGGGTCAGATGTTTTTGACCCTTGTTTTCTTTCTTCTTTTTTCTATAAACTAGATAAAGGAAAACTGAAATATCATACCTGTGCACATGACTGAAGCAAGAGATCCACAGTACCCATATCTGACCGGCCTACATCTACCACTGTACCACTGCTGTAGAATAGGGACACTTCCATTCCAGGAAAATGGCTTTGTTCCTTTCAGGTAATCACTGTTTTCTGGAATCTTCATGATACTGTTAGTGGTATGGCTGCTTATCTAGAAAGAGAAAAGAAAAACAACCATTTCAAATGACCGACCATGTCTTCACATTCTAAGCATGTCTCAAAATCATCAGAGGTTAGCATTAAAAGTTTAATTTTCCTGTGAATCTGAGCAGAGGAAGGATTTCCCCCACTCACCTGCTGCGTTAGATTACTGTGCAGTCTGTCCTTCTACAATATAATGAAGTGTGACCTGATCTATTCAGAGGTCTCACACGCCCACAGATCTTACCATGTGATTCACCACCATGCTGACATGCACGGGGTCATTGCGCCAGCAGTGGTCACGATCAGAGCCATGATGGTAACTCGCACCCATATCTAAGATCTTCAAGCAGATATCCAGAATCCCATCTTCAAACTGAGGAAAAAAAAACAATAACATAGGCATCATGGTATGCTGATGTTGCTAAAGTAACTTTCTTATCAAAAATCCAGTCTTTTTTAATTATATGAGTTGCTTTTCACCTCTCCTTTGTTTTTTATTTTCTTTTTTTTTTTTTTATTTTGTTAAATCAAGCACAGCTCCTAGTGGTCTGCATGGTATTGCCTATCTGCCTGAAGGAAAACCAAAGGCAAAAACATGTCATTTTTATGTTTGACCAATGGAATAATTTTCCTTCTGAAGCACAGTGTTTGTTCCACCTGTTCCCAGAACATTGTGCAATTTCCCTCATTTTACTAGATAAAACTTTTTTCCAGTTATTGGGGCTACAGTGAAATTCTCAGACATTTTGGTTCATGTATACATAGTCTGAACTGATCCTAAAAGCCTTTGCACTACAAATAGGGCATACATTTCTGAAAAAATACAAACAACACTTAATTTATCAGTATATGGATGTCATCTATTTCTGAACAAGTATTAAAAATATACCTGTCCAAAGTGCCATGGTCGAGAGGTTATGTGCTTGTGAACTCCTTCATACAGTATGCCGTGTTCATTCAGAACATATTCTTCTCTATGAGCCTGATTGTCCAAATATACAGGATCATCTGGAAAAGATGAAGAGCTTTCATTCAGACAAAATGTACCTTTCTAGTACTTCTGTGTTTCTGCATCACTGGATCCCTCTCTCCTTTATTACCAGTTTTTGATGTATACTTTTATGTTGAAGGTTGTGGGCTCTTTAAGCACTCACAGACAACTCATTCCTACTTACAGCTAGATAATATCTTTATTAAATCTCTCCCTGCTGTAAAGCACATTAATGGAGGAGTTTGCAATTTATCTTCACACTAAGCTGTTCTACAAGTCAAACACTCAGCAACATAGAGTTGTGTATCTGATTTAGATCAAATCAGGACAGACAATGTGAATATTTGTCATGTAATGATTTTGGCGAGGTCCTACAGACTCCAGAATTGCTTGTTACCTGAGCCAGATCTAAAGAATTTAATTTGTATTTGTACTGTATTATTTTATGATGGCAACACAGTATTCACAGAATTACAAAATGGTTGAAGTTGGAAGGGGCCTCTGGAGGTGATCTGGTCCAACCTCCAGCCAGTTTCCCAGGCCATATCCAGATGGCTTTTGAATATCTCCAAGGATGCAGACTCCACAAACCCTCTGGGCAACCTGTGCTAGTGCTCAGTCACTCTCACAGCAAAAATGCATTTCCTGACAAACAAAGGAAGTTTCCCAGTGCTTTCTGTCCTGTCAAAACACTGTAATATTGTGGGGAAAATATTATACCTCACCCCTACTACCACTAAAAAAAAATTGAAACAATGGCTTGAGACAGTCTTGAACTTGGAGGAAAAAGATTAAGAAGAACAGAATTAAATCTGTCCTTGATTCTCATTGTTTCTGTTACTACATCCTTTACGCACCAGGTAAATAATAAATATCTTCTACAGTTTTACTCATCACTAGTTTTTTTTCTTAAAACAATCTGATTGTCATTAGAGTTCTTACCTGCACACCAAGGGTTAAAAAGGACATAAAAATCTCCAAGACACCGCTGGTATGTGTGACCACAAGATGTGATTTGCATATTGAGAATATAACGGCCAATGCAGACGTTGGAAGGAGGAAACACGCTGATAGTGATGCATTTTGGCTGATGAACTTTGTAGGAAGCACTCCAGCAGGTTTGATCCAGACATCTGCCCATTGGGAAGGTGCATTTTGTCTCATTTGATTCACAAGGTCTGAGGCCTTTTCAGGAAAATAAAAACCACTTCCATCAGACTACTAAACAAAGCACATGTAAAAGGCTGGTAATTTGCTTAGGCATCATTTGCAAGGCGAAGCTCCCAAGGGTGGATTTCTTTTTCACTTGTCACTTCTCTAGCAGAGTGAGAAAACTTTACATCTTAGAAGAACTGCCTGATTCAGGGGAGCGTAGTCTCTTCACATAGAACATGAGTAGGTTATGGGAATATGAAGACTATGAAAGAAGTCTTCTGAAGTCTATGGGAAATATTATTAATTAACAAAGGACTAGGAAAGTCTGCAGAGTGCTTGGGAGTGACTACCTGTCTCCACGGTGAAAGCAGCCTGGTCCACAGAGTCATCCCATTCTCGATTTTGGAAGCGAGCATATAAGCTGAAGGCTTGCCCTCTCCTTATTATCTGTCTGTCAGTTCCGAAGAAATGGGTATTATGTATTTGACAGTTGGAAGGACAGTTCAAGTCAACTTCTCCCAACTCAATAACTGCAGGACAGAGAAAGGAGCACAAAGAAAAACCCCATACAATTAAGTTCCCAGCTTCGACTGTGGTTAAGATTAAGTGACAGAGGAGACAACGATGAAAGAGATATAACTCTTTCAAAATACATTCAAGACTTTGTTCAGAATTCAGTGAGACTAAAATTGAGACATACATCCATAAAAGTTCCTTTACAAGTTCACCACTTTTCTAGCTTGCAGATGGAAACTTGTCTAACTCTTTGATTTTTGTTGCTGTCCTACAAGTTTCACTTCTTTTACATAGTGCCTGATTGTATTATAAATACCTGATGCTGAAGGCCAATATTAGTATCTCTACTTGAAAAGCTGACTTTGCATTGTAATAGTCTCTCCACACATTACAACATTCTGTCCACAGTTACAGTTTTGCACATGCTATCATTTGAGGTGTTTGAGTTTTTTATAAAAGAAATTAAAAAATTAAATAGAATAAATAAAAAAATTGATAACATGTATGTATTTGAAAGTTTAAGTGGCACTCCAAATTATTTATGAAAAAAATAGATATGTATAAATATCTATCCAAGACTTAAAATAATGTTAAATATGCTTGCAGATGTCTCAGTCTGCACTCCCAAAGTCATAAAAAAGTTTGCAGATGTCATTGAGGAACTTAATGGAAAAGGAAATATTCACAAATTGTGACATTTTAAAATGCTGACGATCAATCCCAGGTGCTGTGATTAGCTTGACAAAAATCTTGGCCGATTCCCCCTTAGGCATCCTGCTTGCATATCAGTCATTTCATAGGAGTAATTATGACACTGGTGCCAGAAGGATGGGTGGCAACATTCATCTTTACTTATTTGCATACAACTTTTTATTTTCCAAAGTTCTTCATTCTAATTAAAGATGATGGGAGCCACAGATTCTCAGCAGTTTTGGAAATTGGCTTTACTGATGTGCAAAGTCTTGTATTTTATTATAATATTAAAGTGTTAAGTTTGGTCCTGCTAAGCCTACAGACAAATCTAAAAATGCAACTTCTCTAACTACATGGGTACCTACAGAATTAATATTTAAGGGAAAATACTTTTTCCTATCCAATATCAAGGGTGTATCCGTTTAAGGGGAGACACATAGCTAAGCCCTTAGGATCAGGAAATTTTTAACACAAACCAGTGGAGTTTCCCAGGATCACATCCTGAATTAAATAATAATTTAAAATTAACTGGGGAGAGGGTGGGAACGGGTGGAATAGGTAGAGGCAAAAAAAAAAAAAAAGCAGTTTTTTCTAATTTGTTTTCCTTGAATAAAAATAATCTTGTTTCTCATCTAACTATTTAAATTTAGTCATGCATTGGTCATTCAGATCTTCAACAGAGATCAGCAACCAATGCAGAGCTGCATGCTACCATGATAAAAATTTGCACACGATCAACAATAACCAAAAAATACAGGAGTGCATTGCATCATTATTGCTCATGAATACAACATATCTGCTGACAAGAATGAGCAACAGAACTGAACTGAACTGAAAATCTCATATCTTAATGAGAGTTGTCAACCATAACAAAAAGTATTCTGGTCACACCGAAAGTACTTACAGCACACATGGCAAATTCCTGCGGTCAAGAACACTGAAAGAACCTGATTCTTGCCTGGCCTCTGGAAGTGTTTATAAACCAAGACAACTACTCTTCATCCACTCAGTAATCCAGCTGAACTGGAACATCAGGGAGCTGAGGTATTACATTTCCCAGGGATGTTCTCTAAAGTCAGCCCACAGTTTGCTTATCAGATTTAAGTATCGCAACTGGATCATAAACGAGCTAATGATTACTTTCTTAAGCAAAGACAGCTCAGAAAAAATACGAAAGGCAATTCAGTTTCACATTTCTTATTGGTTTTCTGCCTCTGGTCTGGGAGAAACCTGACTATCCATACCAGTCACAGGGTTTTCTCTATCAATTCATATTTTCCCTTCATTCAAGACAGAATATGTCAGGCATTCACTGGAAAATAATTGCTTCTATCATGAGAATACTGAAAGCTAGTACTCTGTACTAATGCTAGCAATAAAGTTTATTCTTTTCCATGCTATTTCCTATTTTCAGAATTGACTGTTGTTTCACTAAATCTTTTCCATAGCTTTATCCTTCATAGTAGTTTTTTTAAAAGTAGTTTTTTTTTTCCTTTCTCTCTAGTCCCACAAAGAACATCCAAACATGCAAGTAATCCCTACACAAAAATATGTGCAATTTTTTAGGCCTGTACACATGATCATTTAATTATTTCTGTTTTCAGTCCTGGTTTAAGGGACATTAAAGTTTCAAGACACTTACCTTCCATTTTTTCTTCTTCTACATGTACTGGTGTCAGAAGCACAGTACTGGTGGATATACCAGCTCCTCAGCAAGACGCACTGCAAGGTCTGGCTGATCTCCTCTGCCAACCAACCTAATTTCCTCTCAGTAACACTTATATTCAGAACTAAGAGGCCGTCACACGTGTTGCATCAACAAAATACCAGTTTTAAAAGAGGCCCCACCCATGTGTCTACTGATGCTCATAAATGATTCATTTTAACTTCCAGCATTATTAGGGAGAGTCCTGGGGCTGAAGGGAGGGAAGAGATCTTGGTAACCTCACCTATAGCACAGTGCTCTCAGTGTCCCACAGCTTGCCCTGTCTCAAAAATACTTTAAAGCCAAGGTGAATCTAAACACATTTCAGGGTAAGCCATTATTTATAGCCATCCAAAGTTGCCATAAATACCAGCACCTACAGTTCCCTTCTGGCTAGTCATCTTCAGAGAGCTATGGAAAACAATAAGGAATACTAGACTAAAGCTGAATTTACGCTCTCAGAATATGATAAGCAGTGGACATTTTTAGCATAATGTAAGCAGAAAGCCCAGTTTTCAGACAGTCTGCACAGCACTCCCTCCAAGGGGAGGTCAGAACAAAAACAATCAGCTACAAACTTTTCCAACTAAATTGTAAAATATGCAGAGAGCGTTGAAGTTGACAATAAAATTTAACCTGAAAAGTACATAAGTTGTTTATACTATGTATGTATTTATTTCCTAGCACACAGTTTTGCATCTTCTTAGCTTACTTCACCTGATTATCCTGAAATTTTGAAAACCATTTCAAACAATATCTGTGAATAAAAACCATGTTAATGCTTTAACACAAAATTTGTGCTATTTATTTAGGTTCCAGGCATATGTAATAAAATAAAACAAAACAACTACAGCAGTGTTCTCTTTGTACTTTCAGTGATGAGTAGTTTAGCCTGCAAATAGGAGACATGGGCTGAAATTTCTTCTGGCAAAACCAGAACAAACATGTGCTACTAGCTTCCTCCTATCCTTCTTATGCCTCTGTGCCAAGCTTTACTCCATAAGCTATCTTTTGAATCCCTCAAAGTTATTCTTTGGGTTGAAAAAACGTAACGCTAAAATAAAAAAACCAAAAAACTCCAAACCAAGAAAAACTAAACACAAAAATCATTCATTGATATAGAAAGATTCAGACACAATGACTGAAGTTCAATGATTTGCATAACTGCCTGGATTCTAGACAGTGCTTTAAGAAATCATGAAATGAAAAAGCTTAACAAACAGTGAAATAACTTAGTAAGCATAACTTAACAGCTCAGGTATTGTGAAATAACTTCAGAGAAATTAAAGCAAAGAAAAAAATCACATCAACAGTGAGTTTGGAAGAGAGCAGTTAAAAAAGTTTGTATGACTGATGCATATGAAAGTGAATGTAATTTTCAATGTGTTCATATTTTGAAAATTATAAATGTTTGGCTCGTCACTAGACAGACATAAAAAGTCTGAATCTTAAGTAGTTCATTTACCTCTCATATATCAGAAAGATTTCTTTTCCTTAGTATTTGCCATTTGAGTATTGAAATTCAACTCACTGAATAAAGAAAAATTAAAACCACCACTTTTTCATAAGAAATAATTTAGCAGCCATACATACATAACCAACTTTCAATCAGCCTACAAAATTGGAATGGTAGTGGTCAAGCCAGCCACTAGAGACCTGCCTCTAAGCAGATGCACATAGTTGCATCCAGATAATAGAACAGGAGAGTACCAAAGTTGTTCACAGTTTCCAAGAATATATTAAAATCCCCTCAAATACATCTAGTTCAGTCTTCTGACTGAAATATCTTGGTAAATGAAAGCCTGTGACAAATAAAAGAAAACAAATAGCAAGCATCAGTAAGTGGCTGCGCCTGTGGGTTCAAAGAGACTTAATTAAGCATTTAAAATAATAAAGACCTGAATCAGGAGAAGAACACTTTCTGTATGGATATGAGTCACTGGCTTTAGTAAGTATGCTTGCTTAGATCCTTGAAGCTGCTTTGGTGCCTATCTGTCTCTGCAGGATCATTATATAGATGCCCAGCCCCACAGCAAAGCCTCCCAGAGACCCAAGTTCCTGCCTATCGGTGTCTGCAGAGCCATCCAATTGCTGCTGCCAGCTCACAGCTATCAGACTGGTTGGTCCTCTCACTCAGGCCCAAGCCTCATGCACCTAAAGTAAGAATCTTTAACAAGGCAGAAAATCATAGTATTCTGGCTCTCTTGAGTTCTTACTCCTTTTGCCTACTAAGCCCTGCATCGTGTTCCTTGCATTCGGGCCATCCGTACAGTAAGGGCCACCGCACAATAAAAGAGCCATGGGAAACTGAGCACAAACAGGAAACACAGATATGGTTCAAAGAAAGGTTTTGCCTCTCATTTTATGGTGCCTCTGATGTGTCCAGACTGCTGACTTCCAAGGCAGGCTGCTGACGTCTGTCCAAAGTGTCTCCTCCTGGATAGAAACAGTTCCCCTCCCTGCCTGACAGTGAGGTTGCCAAGCTGAGGCTGATGAGCCCTTGGCCCCAGCTTTCCACTCTGCCTCCATCTTTTTCCCTCACACTTTACTCATCATTCACACAAGCTGTCCTTGAGGTTACTCCAGTATCTTGCACATCCAATATTCTCTGACATGTACAAATCAGATGAATGCCTGATGCAAGCCTGAAAATTCTGCAAGATAGCATAATTAGGAAGATATTCCAAAATTTAAGCCATTTAGGTTATTAAGTTTCTTTAATGACCTTGACATTGGCCTTACAACAGTAATGCTAAACTTAAGTTTTGCAGTGGCTTGGTGTTTTTAAATATTCCTTATGTTGCAATAGACTGACACGTGATGAGCATTTACAAAGTCAAGTGGTAGGACTGCTAAGGGTCCAAAACCCCCATAGCTTTCAATTACCCATTAAGCCACCAGGAAAGGGTGAGGATTGAACAACAGGGCATTGCAATCACAGGAAGAACATCTGTGAATGGCACTGATGCAGTTCCACCGCATCACTAATATATTTGGGAACAGTAGAGAGGCTGCAGTAATCAAGCATCCAAGCAAGGAATCCTTTCAGGAAAAAAAGTACACAAAATGACTGCTCAACAGGGGAAAAGGGAAGGAATCAGAAATTATGCGAACTGAGATTAAAGTATTTTGGTGAAAGTGTCATCTACTGGAAAGCTGGGGTTATTGCAGTTGTTAAAAAATATTTTTCAACTTATGCATGTTTCAACAACCAGCCCTAAAGTTCAGTTTTTGTACTTGGTAATATAACTGTATTCCTTTGATCACTGGACCTGGAGTTGATCTTATAGCAATGACTGACAGTGTAAAAAGATAGTGTCAAGATAGTGTATTTGAAATCATTAAGTGGCATCACCTTCTGCTCCAGAGAGTTCAGGAATATTCATGTCTAACAAGGAAGGGGGATAGAGAAGAAAAAACCAGATGCCACAGGTTAACTCTAAAATAAGCACGTGTTAGGAGTCCACATCTGACCTTCTGAAGTTTCATATTACAAGGGCTACAGGCTGGCAAACTAATAGAACTCTGTCACAGAACACACCCAGAGTTTCTTAAAATTCATAAATTAATTTGCAATGAAGTTGCCTTTCATTAAAGAGCCTGAAAGCACTGGTAGGTACTCTGTTAAGTGTAAGCAAGCATTACAACATCATATTTACAGATGAATTAGGACAAAGAAATGCTTCAAATGAAATCTTAAACAAGAAGTCTGTGTGTTTTAAGAAGTAGATGGCAGCTTTGTCTTTCTAGAAGCTGGAGGAAATTAGTAGCATTAAATA